ATTGTTAAAGCACTATGTCCACACTCATGCTAAGCATGATGACGATTTGTTAGTACTAATCTCTTCTCTGGAGAAGGGACAGGCAGGGACAAGAGGCAGGGACAGGCAAAAAGAACCATAAACACCGAGACACACAAACCTGGTCACAAGTCTCACGATATGTTTCTCTTGACAGCAAACTTTAAGTATATGCAGATTGTAAGTTGGATGAATTTAATCCACTAAAATGTTTTCACGCTTTACTGGCTTGTGAGATTGCTAGTTAGTCATGGCTGACACAAAAAATTACTGTCTTCTTGAAAAATATGAATAGGATTAAAGCTTAAAATAAAACACAGTCAGATTTCAAGACTATTAGTGACACTGGATGCAACTGGGAAAAACGTATTTGCTGAATTTACATCCTTATTATATTACCTCAATCTGCTTTTCACATGTTATAATTTGTTGAAGGTTAAGAATACAGTTTGTGCTTTGAAAATAACTTCATCACACAGCATCCGTAAGCAGTATCAACCTCTCCGCAAAATGAGATTACTTCATTTATTTAAAATCCAAAAGGTACAGCCGGCGCCGCGGCTCAATGGGCTAATCCTCCGCCTGCAGCACCGACACATGGGGTTCTAGTCCCGGTTGCTCCTCTTCCAGTCCAGTTCTCTGCTGTGGCCTGGGAAGGCAGTGGAGGATGGCCCAAGTGCTTGGGCTGCACCCACATGGGAGACCAGGAGAAGTACCTGGCTCCTGGCTTCGGATCGGCGCAGCACACCGGCGGCAACGTGCCGGCTGTAGTCGCCCCTTGGGGGGTGAACCAATGGAAAAAGGAAGACCTTTCTCTCTGTCTCTCTCTCTCTCTCTCACTGTCCACTCTGCCTGTCAAAAAAAAAAAAAATCCAATAGGTACAAATATTGCCAAGGATGCATGATGTGTGTATATCCCTGAAGCAAATTTTGCCAGAACACTGGTGGAAAAAGCTGACAGGTGCATTCTAGCTAATAACAACACAGTCTGATGTCATCTCTGTTTTTAGCACTTCCATTGTTATCATCGTTTGCTATAAGAACATATCCTGGGTGATGAGAAAGTTTTACCTCTATTTTCTAGCTCAAGAAAGAGAAGTTCTAAAGCAATTTTTGCAAAGCTATGCATTATGAGAAAACTTCAAAAAGTTCACAGAGAAGTGGAATTAAAAGGTAATTTAATTTTGGTGCAAAAAAGTTTTGAAATCCATGCATAGTCCTTTCATAATATACACTTTCCAAGCTCTTTTTGAAAACCCCTTATACACTGAGGTTTCTTGGTCTATATAGAGTAAACCAGTATCTTTCGAACTTTTTTTTAAAGATTTATTTATTTTGAAAGTCAGAATTCCAGAGAGAGAAGAAGAAGGAGAGGAACAGAGAGGGAGAAGAGGAAAGGGGGAGAAGGGGAGAACAGGAGAGGGAGAGAGAAAAGAGATATCATCCATCCACTGGTTCACTCCCCAGGTGGCAGCAACAGCCAGCACTGGGCCAGGCCGAGGCCAGGAACCAGGACCTTCATCCAGGTCTCCCACACAGGTGGCAGAGGCCCAAGAATTTGGGCCATCTTCCACTGCTTTCCCAGGCCGTGAGCAGGGAGCTGGATCAGTAGAGCAGCAGGGATATGAACGGATTTCCATATGGGGTGCAGGCTCTGCAGGCGGGAGCTTTATCCACTGTGCCACAATGTTGGCCACAGTTTTCACCTATCTTTTTACTCCAGATGTCTCTCAAACATGTCATCATTTCCTTGAAGTCAGTCCCTAAAACCCACTAGCCAGTTGGAAAACGCTGTGCTGTAACTCAACTCACAGCTCAGAATATGAAGAAGAACACACGTAGGAGGGTTTAATGACCAGCTTCAAGGGGGAAAAAGTTGCATCTCTGAAGCTGCAGCAGGACCACTTCTGATCAGCATCACACGCCAGCGTTACAACTTCTCATTCCAGTCCTGGGTGCCTCGCTTGTGATTTATCAAATGCAGATGCCGGAACGCAATCTCAGAAAACGCTTAACTCAATCAGTGTGCAGCCACCCAGGCACCTCCGGAGGGAAATGACAAGCGCCGGTTTTGGACAGTGAAGGGGAAAGAAAGCCTTGTGCAAATCCGGAATCATCTGTCATGAGCAAAGGTGGAAAATTATAGAGGAACTCCTTTGGGTTGCAAAGATATCATTTAGGATTCCACAGCGGCAATTTAATAAATGATAGCCTTCTGGATTGAGTGATTTCACCTGCCTCCTCAAGTACCTAATTTAGGACCAGGGAGCAATTACAATCTACAGAGTCAAGGCATGGAATTATAAATGTCTGATTTACCATGGTCAAGGCTCCATCTACGTCTTCAAACCAGAGCGGATGACAACATCTCCCCATTTTCTCTAACAAAAGATCCACCTGACGTCTGACACTTCTCAATGTTCACGTATTCAACGATTCATCCTTGCATTCACTCATTCATCAAACAGGGGCATCTCACAAATGGGCCACCATATGCACAATGAGAAAAGTCATTCAGGCTGCTAATGAACAGAACAGGGACTGGGTTTCCACAGTCAGAGACCTGGGAAAAGCTGACAAGATTCTATTATGAGCAAGGCCCCACAGGCACGGATGACTACTGAGGTATCTGCTTCCATTTATCATGTGGAACCTGGCCCTCTCGATGCTGTCTGGAGCAAATATCAAATATTTTCATACAGCTGAGGCTCTCCTGTTCACTGACACCCATTCAACTGAGCTTGACTTTGCCTCATTTGGAAAGGCTTTACCTGGTATCTTTCCATAGACTGAATGAACTATGAAGTTAGATGTTTCTCGAAAGCTGTGTTTCTGAATTGAACTTTGATACGTTATAGGAGCTCACTCATCACATAATCCCTGTGCAGAATGAAGAATCATATTTGTTGTGAATAATCACCCCCAATGGGTCTGTTGGGCTCACAACTTTCTCCAGGTGTGACTCCCTGTTACAAAGGAACAAAATAGGTGGAAGGAAGAGCTGATTTGCCTAAGAACTGGATTGTGCTACACTCAAATAACTTTAGCTTTGACTTAGTGTTCTCTCAATGTGATCCTTTTAGATGCAAATGTATTTCCTCATTGCAGGGTAATTTATGGGTTATTTCTATTGTATGAAGTCAAATTACTTCAGTGACCTGAAGTACCTCAATAAAATAGCTCTAAAACATTTAGTATGGAGTGTTATAAAACGGGGACTATTCTCCATTATACAAGTCATCACTCTAAAAATTTTAATAGATCTATTTTATTTACTTATTTGAAAGGCAGAGTGACAGCAAGGGGGTGAGGGAGAGACAGAGACAATGAGAGAAACACATACAACTGGTTCACTTCCCAAATGGCCACAAAAGCAGGCAAAGCCAGGAGCCTGGGACTCCAACTGGCTCTCCCACCTGGGTGGCAGAGGCCCAAGGACTTGGGTCATCATCCGCCACCTTCCCAGACACATTATCTGAGAGCTGATTGGAAGTGGAGCAGCCAGGACTGGAACTGGCACTCGGATATCGGATGCCAGCCTTGCAAGCAGCGGCTTCACCCACTGTGCCAGGACACCTGCCCCACTGTAAAAATGTCCATGCTCATCCCTTTCTCTTTCTTTCTGATATTAAGCTATCACCTGCACAATGCACTGCTCTTTACTCTGTCTCCTTATTATTTAAATCGTCTCTCACGCCTTCTGCCTTCAGACACTTTTTCTGGATATCACAACTCTCATTACCCACCCGAGCCTCTCCTCCACCTGCATCCTGTATGTGCTCTCAAGGCTCCTCTTCCAGTCTCAGTCCAGCAAATGAATGTGGCCGTGAACTCCCTGTCTGCTGTTCAATGACCCCTGCAGTGCTCTCGGACAGTCTGACACATACTTACCTTCCACTATAATTTGGCATCATGGTAACCGTTACTGGAAACAGATATAACCATGGGGTTCAAAAGCCCATATTCCGTCTACTAACATGCGGTTTGCCTTAAGGATTTGTGAGACAAAGTTCGAATCATCATTTATATAAAATATATACACCTTCTCATAGAAGCTAACACAACCAATACGGAAATAAAAATAGCTTTGGTTTACGTTATGGTATTAAGTATCTCTAAATTTCCACTTTACTACTTTGTTCATATTATTGCTATATCCATGCCTTTGACCTCAGAAGCAGAAATATTCAATTGGATGTATTAAATATATTTACAGAATGGCTTTTAATCCTCATGCTAGTAACATCAGGGCAAAAGACAACCTTATCAAGCCACTTAGTCGAAGGCACAAAAGCAAAATTCGGCACATTTTCAACATTCAATTTTCCATCTTCCAAATACAATTTTTCAGTTTCCAATTGTAGCTTTAAGAAACACTAGGAAGAAGCTCCAATTACCGCAAATTGTTTTCTACCGCATTACCTTCTGGCAACCTCGACTTCGCAGCAACTATTTTAGTGTTCTAGTTACACACGCAACTAAGTTCTCCTACGGAAATGCTGTGAAAAGCAGGTGCTGCCTACCAAATTGAACAGGGAACCGTGTGTCGTGTTCACAGCGTCAACGGCAAATTCAGGAGTGAGGGTCGCCTCCCACAAGCAGGGAGTTGCAGTCACTCTTCATCAACAAACCCACCCAGGGAAGAAAACACTGGCTATGTCAATATGGAGAACAGCTTTACCCTGTCCTATCTCGAAACACTCTCACTCTGTGGACAATCCCAAAACACTGTAATGTGTTTTTCACAAAAGCAGCTGGCTGGGCATTTCTGTATTTATTCAATTAGACAGCAGAGGGGAAAGTCTCAGCACTGTCAGAAGAATATTTGCAATGCAATTAGGGGGAGGACAAGTGCATCTGAGTGGATGCCAGACACAGGGGCCTCCCCTTAATTCACACAGCCCAACGTCTTTCTGCGGCGTGCAGCATCCAACAGCACTTCCTACAGTTTTCAAACTTTTGTCAGTTAACTACATGCTTACCGGGCGCCTCGTCTGGACACTCAACACTGCGGGCTCGGCATCCAGCACTGTGTACCTTGTTCCAGCACCATCTGTCACTTAAGCTTCCACAGATTCAAAAATTTCAATGCAAACTCATCTACGCGGTGGCGCTCACACTGAAGCTATAATTCAAATTTCGACGTGCAGCCTGAATTCCTTTTCAATGTTCTTCAACTTTGACCCAGCTCCCCCCACCCCCTTTGCTGAAAAGGGCCAAGACAACAGCCCAGCAAGTGGGGCAGGCAAAACAGGCCTCCTTTGTTCACTTTTGTCCTTTCAGCTCTCTATTGAGGTGAGGAACTGAAAAGGCTCTGGAAGGCAGCAGGCTGCTCACAGAACCGCAAGACTCCAGGAGGAAACTCTCCAGAGTCCATTTGTACCTTAAGACACAGTTAGTAAGTGCAAGGTTAGTGCTTTGCCTTTGCCTTGCACGAGAGAGAGAGGGACAGAGAGAGACAGACAGAGAGAGACTGAGACTCTGTTCATGCTGTTTAGCGTGAGTTTTGTGACATTCATCAAAAACGCATGCTGTAAGTTATACCATTCAAACGCCAAGGGCATCTGGAGCAGCATGAAATTAGCTTTACAGTTGAGATTTGGAGGAAGGATCACTGCATGAATACATCTACTGGATTTTTTGAATGCTCTCAGCCCACTGGAGAAAGATAAATCAAATTCACTGCATATCAGCCAGTGGAAGACCTCCTACAGGATTCCCTCAGATTTCCCTGGGAATAGATTCTTCTGGCTACAGTGGGTTTTGAACCAATACATTATGCCCTCCCATCATTTAATAAGAAGAATCTTAGAAGTATCCCTTTTGTCGGACAGCAATGGGCATTTTCCTTCTCATGTAAACTAAACAGTGCTTTAGTATAGGTCAGTATGGAGGGAAACCAGGGAGCATGGATACAAGAGAAGATCTCACCCGTTTGCCAACTGAGTAAGACTTGGGATGATAAGTGGAGGGGAGTTAGTGGCCCTAAGTCTGTTCCCTTGCCCCTGGCATTCCGTACACTCACTCGCGTTTTAGCCACTTGAGGGAAACCTTCCGTCACACTGTTCAAATTTATCTTTTTCTAATTTGAAATTCCAATCTTGTAGCCCAGTAAAATAGGTCAATTAAGTTGACACCGCGTCTTTCTTATTAGCTCAGTGAAGCAATTCTAATTGGGTGGTGACGGTGTATGCTGTCACCTTTGAAGCTTCCGTGGTGGGGCGAGGCCCCCAACGCAGGGCTCCAGCACACCTCCAAACAGGCAGCATCAGGAGATCCCCTACTTAGGTTCACACTGCACGCAAATTTACTCTCGCTCTGGATCGCAATAATGTCATGTCCAAGCAGTAAAACAAAAGCAAACTGATTAATTAACTCATTCAGCACAAGTGCCCTACAGACATAGATGCTAGCAAAGTAGTAGAGTAGTAAGAGAAAACAGTACCGAATAATTTAAGGGTATTACTCCCTTGTCTTGACGCTCCAACTCAACATTTAAGAAAATCACAAGGATGCATGTCACCAAAGCTATCTTATCCTGGACTACCACGACACACACACTCCACAGCAGCTATTTCATGCTTTGCACTACGTGTGGGGTCAGGTAATGCCTGCTGGAAACTGTGTGTCTTCTGATTAATAAAACTTAACCCAGAACTTAGAAAATCCTGTGAACGACGCATTCATAAGGCCCAGTAAATTAATAAACGTACAGCTTTAAAAAGTAGCAGCAACTTCACTTCACACTCATTAGGATGGTGCCAGCAAGAAAGCACAAAGTAGCAAGCGTTGCTGATGATGGGGAGAAACCGGACCCCTGGTGCATGGCTGGTGAGAAGTCGAAGTGGCGCAAATGCTATGGAAAACAGCAGGGCAGTGCCTCTGAAACACAGAAATCGAACCATCATAGAATGCAGCAGTCTGGTTTCTGGGTGTACACCCTAAAGAACTGCAAGCAGGGACTTGACGGGTATTTGCACACTGATATTCACAGCAGCATCACAGCAGCCAAAAGGTGGAAGGAACCCAACTATCAGTCAACAGATGATTGGGCAAACTTAATGCGGCAAATACAGAAAACGAAACAGCATCAGCTTTCAAAGGGAAGGAGATCCCGTTACACGGGTGAACCGTGGAGACACTACACCAAGGGAGATAAGCCAGTCACAAAAGCACGAACACTGTATGAGCCCACTCATCTAGGGTACCTAGAGTGCTCAGACGCACAGAGATAGAATACGGGACAATGGTTGCCTGGAGCTGCAGGCAGAAGAGACAGGAATTAGTCTTTCCGAGTCCAGAGTTCCAGTTTAGGAAGATGAAAAAAGTTCTGGAGGTAGATACATACCATATGAATGTACTTAATGCCACTGAACTGTACATCTAAGAACAGTAAATCATGTGCTATACATTAGCACAAAGCATTACCTTTCATATAAATATACTGCATTGGCCCCTCTGATAATGAAGGAGTTGTGGTTGCCAAAGCTGGAGACAGAGTCCCATGGTTTCCTCCTTCCTGCACATTTTGAGAGGGAAACACTCAGCAGCTCACTTGGTAAGTTTTCCTAGAAACTGCACTCAAACTCGCAGACACAGAATAGGGTGCTAATCACCAGCATGCAGCAGCCAGGGCACAGGAGGGACAGAGGGGTGCAGGGTGGGACATGAGGGGCTGGGGGTCCAAGGGTTCCAAGTTTCAGCTGTGCAGAAGAAATGCAGAGTGGTGACTACCAAGAAAAACACTATTGTACTCTCGCGACATACTAAGAATACAGGGATCGTAAATATCCTCATCATAAAAATAAAAAGAGGTAAGGCCGGCACTGTGGTGCAGTAGGTTAATCCTCCACCTGCGGCACCAATCATCCCATATGGGCGCCGGTTCAAGTCCCAGCTGCTCCACTTCCGATCCAGCTCTCTGTAATGGCCTGAAAAAGCAATGGAGAATGACCCAAGTCCTTGGGCCCCTGCACCCATGTGGGAGACCCGGAAGAAGCTCCTGGGTCCTGGCTTCAGATTGGTGCAGCTCTGGTCATTGTAGCCAATTGGGGAGTGAACCAGTGGATGGAAGACCTCTCTGCCTCTCCTTCTCTGTGTAACTCTTTCAAATAAATAAAGAAAAATTTTTTAAATAAAAATAAATAAAAAGAAGTAACAATGTGAAGTGATAAATATGTTAATTAGACTGACAGTGCATGTGTGTCAAAACATATTGTAGGGCTAGCGCTGTGGTGTAACAGATTAAGCCGCAATGCTGGCATCCCATGTGGGCACCGGTTTGAGTCCCGGCTGTTCCACTTCTATCCAGCTCCCTGCAATGGCCTGGGAAAACAGTAGAAGAGGCCTGGTTACTTAGGCCCTGCACCCACATAGGAGACCTGGAAGAACTGCAGCCATCTGGAAAGTAAACCATTAGATGGGGCCGGCGCAGCGGCTCACTAGGCTAATCCTCTGCCTGCAGCGCCGGAACACCGGGTTCTAGTCCCGGTCGGGGTGCCGGATTCTGTCCCGGTTGCCCCTCTTCCAGGCTAGCTCTCTGCTGTGGCCGGGGAGTGCAGTGGAGGATGGCCCAAGTGCTTGGGCCCTGCACCCCATGGGAGACCAGGATAAGTACCTGGCTCTTGCCATCGGATCAGCGCTGTGCGCCGGCCGCAGCGCGCCGTCCACGACGGCCATTGGAGGGTGAACCAACGGCAAAAAGGAAGATCTTTCTCTCTGTCTCTCTCACTGTCCACTCTGCCTGTCAAAAGTAATAATAATAATAAAATAAACCATTAGATGGAAGATCTCTCTCTGTATGTGTCTCCCTCTCTCTCTGTAATTCAGCCTTTCAAACAAATAAATAAATACATAAATCTTTCTTTAGAAACCATGTTGTGTGTCTTAAGGGCTAGTGTTGTGGCAAAGCAGATTAAACCACTGCCTGTAACACTGGTATCCCATATAAGCACTGGTTCAAGTTCCAGCTGTCCCACTTCCCATCCAGCTCCCTGCTGATGCACCTGGAAAAGCAGCAGCAGAGAACCCAGGTGCTTGAGCCCCTGCCACCCACATGGTAGACTCAGAAGGAGGTCCTGGACCCTGGTTTCAGCCTGGCTCAGCCCTAACAGTTGCAGCCATTTGAGAAGTGAACCAGTGGACGGAAGATCTCTCCCCCTAACTCTGCCTTTCAAATAAATGTCTTTATGAAAATCATGTAACATATCTTAAATATATCCAATTGTTATTTGTAAATTGTATCTCAATAAAGCTGGGGTAGAACACGAAACTTCAGGCTCAGGTGCCAACAAAGGCTTTTTCTAAATGAAAGGGCTTTTCATTCATCAGGTAAAATGTTAATTTAAAAAAACCATCCACAAGATTTTTGCCTATAGCAAAATCCAGAAAGCTCTCTCGGCCTTATCTGCCAGAAAGGTTCAAGGCTCCTTCAGATGCGGAAGTACTAAATTTAAAAGAAAAAGAACACCCAGATGTACTTAGTAACATTCAATTATTACTTTTTCATCAATCATCTCAGCGGTTGAAGGTCAACCTGAAGAAGTCAGTGGATCCAAACACTGGAAACTTACATAGAACAAGAACACAGGCACCCGGAGTTCCAGTTTAATTGGCTCTGAGTTGGCAAGCATCTCAGATGGGAACTGATCTTGGAAAATGGGGAAGGCTGCTGACAGAGGGAGCAGATGAGGACTTCAGGGTGATGTTCTCCGCCTGCGTGTCTCAGTGGTTCTGCTCAGGGGTGAGTCATGACCAGGAGGGACCACAAGGGGGCTTTCTCCCACGTTCCTGTTTTGTTTCTTGATTTGAGTGCAAGTTCATCAAGCTGCACGTTTTTAAAAAAGATTTATTAATTTTATTTGAAAGGCAGAGTTACAGAGAGAGGAGAGACAGAAAGAGAGATTTTCCCATCCATTGGTTTACTCCCCAAATGGCAGCAACATTGGGAGCTGGGACAGGCCAAAGCCAAGACCTTGGAGCTCCACCCCAGTCTCCCATGTGGGTGCAGGGGCTCAAGTACTTGGGTCATGTGCTGCTGCTTTCCCAGGAGCACTAGCAGGAGCTGGATCTGCAGATGCACCTGGATGCCAGCATTGCAGGTGGCAGCTTAGCCCGCTGTGCTACAATGCTGGCCCAAAAATAGAGGGGGGGACCCTGTTGGGGAAGTTTGTAGCCACAGATGATAAAATCAGAATCAATCTCCTTGAGGGTAGAAACTTTGTTTGCTTGCCACTGTGTCTCCAGTGCCTAGAAAAGCAGACCATGCACTCCTTAAATACTTGTGGATGAAATGAATGGGTCTGTTTACCAGAAAATCTTGTGTAGAGTTCCATTTAATAGCTAGGTTGTACACAGATAACCTAGTCTCTGCAGATTTGATTTACACTCAACCAATCATACTGGGGAAAAAAAACGATGCCTATGCAAAAGTATTATTTAAAGGCATTCTTAAGCCCAGGTGCACACATTCAAGTACCTTCTCGCACTTAGCCATGACCGTCACCATTGTCCTACTGGCTTCACAGAGGGGACCTGCATTTTACATACCACCGCTGCTGCAACAGCAATGACGTGGTGTAAGGGCACTCTGGCCCTAGTGTACCACCAGCCTGCAATCCCAGGCTGGGCCACCTCTGTTTCACTGACTGGTCTGGAAACCTGAGTGTTAGATACAATGTTGCCTGAGTTCCTTTACAGCTCTAAAAATCCTGGAGTATCTGAAATGTTTAACAACTTCCCTGTGATGGAATAGAAAGGCTGGGGAAAAAAAAAAAAACACGAGTCAATAGGATTACTAATGCAAAATGAACCCATTTTTCCAATTGATTGGTTAATTACAATAATCCTAAAAGCTATTCTGGGAATAGCTGATTTCACGTTAGTCCGAATTCTTCTTTCCTACTAGGCAACCTGGCGCATCTGTGTAAATGCACCACATATTCCTGTAATTCAGGATACGGGATATTGTTCTAAAAGTATATGCTAGAATCCTCTTCAAACTCAATATCCAACTGGAGGAGTAACTCTCCTGCAGTCAGAACAGTCTAGAAAGGGCATTCAGGGCTTGGAGTCTGAAATAAAAAGGTATGCCAAATAGATGCCTGGCCTTTCCTTAAGGAAAAAAAAAAAGGTTTTCTTAAAAATTACAGTGTGCCAGAAGCATCACTTTGCAACTTCAGGGGGCTCTGGTTGCTAAGAACAATATACAGGCTGTAAAGTACTGAATTGTAGGTTAACAGCCATGCACTTAAAAGCTAAAGGGAATAAAAACCTGTAAAGGAATTCAGGGTGAAACAGGGAATAAAAGGCTTTTCCACAGTACAGTTCTCCGAATTACAACATCGCCAGCTACTGTGAGGTCTGCGGGAGTCAGCACTAAATGGACTTGTAACGGCAAGCCCCAGCTTTGAACAGTAGATGGTCTGGGGCTTCTCCTAACCATAAGCCTTTGAAAGGCCACGTTTTCACAGGGCAAGTACAGGGGGCAAATGGTGTATCCCATTGCTCCCTAATCTCCTAGCTGTGTGGCCTTGGCAAGTCAGTTGACATACCTAAGCCTCTATCTCCTGCTTTTTAAAATAGGGTTATGGGAATTAGACGATCACGTATATTAGGCATGGTGCCCAACGTATCTGCAACTCAAACTATGCCATCAGTACCATTAAAGTAGAAAATGTCTGGCTGGGCACTTGACAAAGTTGTTACAATGCTGGTTGTGACTTGCGCATTCTATATCTGATGGGTATTCTTGGAGGAACCTACAAGGTTGATCACCTACAAGGCTGCTACCTACAAGGGAGATCCAGAATGAGTTCCTAGTTCCTGGCTTTGGCCAGGCCCAGCTGTTGGAAGCATTTGGGGGGAGAAGCAACAGAGGATCTAGCCCTCCCTCCTACCCTCCCTTCCTCGCTGCCTCTCTCTCTCTGCCTTTAAAATAAAGTAAAAACACATTTTAGGGGCTGGTGCTGTGGTGTAGCAGGTAAAGCCACTGCCTGCAGTGCCAGCATCCCACATGGGTGCCGGTTCGAGTCCTGGCTGCTCCACTTCCAACCCAGCTCTTTGCTATAGCCTGGGAAAGCAGTAGAAGATGGCCCAAGTCCTTGGGTCCCTGCACCCACATAGGAGACCCAGAAGAAGCTCCTGGCTCCTGGCTTCGGATCAACGCAACTCCAGCCGTTGCGGCCAATTGGGGAGTGAACCAGTGGATGGAAGACCTCTCTCTCTTTCTCTCTCTCTCTCTCTCTCTCTCTGCCTCTCTGTGAACTCTTTCAAATGAACAAATAAATTTTTTAAAAAAAAGCACACTTTAAAATTTTTAAAAAGAGAGACCACCGTATACCAAAATAAATAAATAAATACATGAGTAGAAAGTATCCACGTGTGTAAATCCTCTGTGGCACTTCTGGAAGGCTTTTCGCTCACGAGCTGTGATTACAGTATTTTAATAGCAGGCCCCGGCCAGCCTAAAGCAAGTCCCCTCCCAAGCAGCCCAGCCTCCCTAGGTTGGCATTCAGGCGGCTACCATGCTCCTTCCCAGGACAAACTCAGTGGGCGCTCCCGCTGCGGAACCAGAGCCTCGCGCCCCATTTCACTTGGCTCCACCTCTTCTTGCCACAGCCTCGGGCCAGAAGGGGCCCGGCCCTTCAGACCCGCACTTCTGAGCATTAACCATCTGGGACCGGGAAGGAACAAACGCCTCCCTCTTAAGACCACTCAGCGCCGGGTGGTGCCTACGGCGGGAGCTGCTGGTGCGAAAAGGACAGGAGGGAGGCTCGGTGCCTCCCTCCGTGCCCACGAACGCGCAGCGGAGCGG